TAGGTCTGGCTAGCTCATTTGCCCTGAAGGAGGGAGTAGCAGGAAATGGCATCATTGTCTTCATTTTCAGATGAGAAAAATAGAATCCAAGGGAAGCTCTGATTTGAGCTCCATTCACAGAAGACAAGTCACTTTGGGGGAAATGGGGGAGCACACCTTCCAGAACATTCCACAATATTAGACCAAATTGCCCAATCTTTGCAGGGTCATCCATTCTATGGCTCCTATCACTAAGCCAGTAATCATGTCATACTCACTGGAGAGATGGGCATTGGCAGACCAGGCTCGGGGTCTGTGAGTTGTGAGGGGATGCCAAGCTCTGTCTGAGGTAGAGTGGGTCTGGCAGCCTCTAAGGGCTTTGAAGTGCTCACCCAGGAAGACACTGGGCCTCCTCATACCACCTCCACCTTCAAAACTTGAGACAGAGGCTGCACTGTGCCGGAGTCCCAGCTGCCCAGTGTCTAAGAAGGACACTGAGTCCATGAACTGACCCCTCTGGAAGGCTGCGGGCCCAATCACCCTTCCTCAAGCCCTCCTGACCCCCAATTAACCAGGAAATGTGTTATTTGTTCCAAGCAGGGGAACAAGCTCTCCTGGGGAGAGGAATTCAGGGCTGGAGGTCCAGTGACTTCCAAGGAAGAAAAATCCTTGGAATTCTGTGGGGAGTCTGGGTCTCAGCAAAGGGAGCAGAAATTTGGTACTTGTTTTTGGTCCTTATTTACCAAATTAGTTAAGGTTCTGGTAGTTCTTTGGCTGCTAGCACAATTCCAGCAAGACATGGGAAAGCAATTAGGTTGCCCTACATGTCCAGCAGACTTCCATCCCCCTAGTTGGGGCAATGTCTGTAAACCTTGCCCTGCCTCATCTCCCTATCAACCCCTTGGGACTGGTCAGGACTTTCCAGACATTACTTCCCTCCCTAGACTCCTGAGGTGGGTAAGTGGGCTTAACAGAAGTCTCCTCCCTCATTCGGGATGGGGAGGTGACATATGGTGAATCAGGGGTCATGCTGGGAATATTTAACCCCCACTCCTACTGGACAGACAGAATTCAGGGGAGCAGAAAGTTCTGGTTACTGCAATTCTCCAGTAGGCATGGAGGAGGCACTGGAAATATGCACTGGGGGCCTTCGGTGGTGACAATAGTGGGGTGTTGGGAGGGTCCTACTTAGCTGTGATGGGGGCTCTTGGTTGAGGCAGGGAGGTGTGGGCACAAGGTGAGAACTGAACTAAGTTTGGATCATGTATCTGCTACTTACCAGCTAGCTGTGTGATGTTGGGCAAGCAAATAGCTGTTCCCAGCCTCAGTGCTCCCCTTTATATTTGTGGAAATCACAATGCCGCCTTAGGTGGGCTCTATGAGTCATTTGTACAGCATGCTTAGCACAGTGCTTGGACTATACTAAGCTCCATAAATTCTGGCAGTTTGAAGAAGCAAAATGAAGTAAAACCCTACCAGAACTCAAGTGTTAATGGGAGATGCGAGTCTGAAGATCTTCATCATGAGATCCCAACAGTTGCAGGGAAAGGGAAGCATGAGGAGGATGTGGGAGATGGGTCAGGAGGATGGTGTTCGCATGGGTAACAGATGCCAAGCTTTGGAGTAGATTATCAGGGCTGTGGGCCCCAGGAGAACAGGGTGGGGATTTCCAAGGACCACTTGTACTCACCCAGGAGTGGGAGGGGCGTCAGATGGTGAGGGAAGCATGTCTGCTCAGCGTTTTGGCTGAGGCGAACAGTGAGAGGCTGAATGGGCGGCAGACTTCCAGAAATGCAGACGGAGGAGACGGAACAGTAATAATGACTTGGACACACAGGAGGAAAAACTAACTCAGGGATGAAGATGACGCCAAGGTTTCTGGCCTTGAGAAGCTCGTGGGGATGTGAGGTGACAATTGAGGGACAGAGAGGAGAGCACCTGAAGGCACTGGACAGGCAAGAAGGGAGGCCTGAACAGCAGAGATGTGCAGGTATCCCAGCAAGAAAGGGTCAGTATGTGGAGACTGAGCTTCCATCTCTGTGGAGGGAGAGAACTGAGCATTCTGGAAATTGAGGTGGCATGGAAATTTATCCCTAAACTCAGGACTCAAGGGAATCTGTGGGGCCAGGCCTGAGGACAGCAAACACAGTAACTTGGATCAGTAGATGCCATTCAGAGCTCAAGTTCTTCCTGTCTTAAATGGGTCTGATGCCAGTGCTCCCTAGTTGATAGGATGATTCTGTCAATCATTTGGCTAGCCATCATTGAAGATGTATTCCTTGACAGTCTGTGAGATTCTAGCCCTGTTCTGTGTTCTGGGGAAACAATTAACACTGTGCCTGTTCAGTTAGAGATACTGTGGCTTGCTAAGTCAGACAACAAATAATTTTATAGGTTGTTGAACACGACTCTTTCTGTGGTTTTAGAATGTCTGCTGAAGCAGGGCTAGGGAGATGGCTCATTTGATGAACTGCTTGCCTGAAACTGGGGTGTGGTGGTGCGCACTTGTAATTCCAGTGCTGGGGAAACCAAGACTGGAGAATCTCGGGCTTGTTGGCCAGAAGGCCTAGCTGAATTAGCAAATCCCAAGCCAATGAGAGGCTCTATCTCAGCAAACAATATGGATGGCCTCTTTGCACATGCAAAGGTGACCTCTGATCAACCCACACATACACACACATGCGTGCGTGTCACACACACACTGTTTGCCAAAGTAGCAAAGCCTAGAACCTTCTCTAAAAGAGAAGGATGCAGGTCAGTCATGGGACATGGGGTGAGAGGAAGAGCATACTTGCTATCTTAGTAGACAGGGCTGAGGTTTCTCTGAGGACACTCCTCAATGCACCCTGAGTGAAAGGGGCTAACACCTGCAAAAGGAGGCTGGTATGACTCCTCTCAGCTGTCCCTCCACTGATGCTGAGGGCAATTGCTGGCAGATGCAGACACCCCTATGTTCTTAGAAGAACCCAACACATGCCTTTAGGAACTAAGCAAGTACACATCTGAAGAGACTTGCAGTTTCTGAATGGAGAATTGTGACTATGGAGCTTGGCTGGGGTGGTCTCTATGGCAGGGAAGGAAGTGGCTACCTTACCATTGCTTGGCCTGGCATGAACTGGAAGGTCTTTCAGGTCAAGGAATACAAGGATCTTTAAGAGGTCTGCCAGAGACTGCTTTGCTATGATAGTGCAGGGTGGAAGCCCCCCCGCCCCGCCCCGAACCCACAATGTGCATGAAAGAGCCCATGTTTGGGCACCTGACAGACAATCCCTTGTGCAACCTTGACCTAGTTGAGCCACAGTGTAAAAGGAGGTCTGAAAAACAGATCATGTCTCATTATCCCCACTATAGGTCCTGCAACCAAAGACAGGCCTATGGTGGGAAGCTGGGGGGAGGTCGGTGGGGGGGGGATTAAATTGATGTGATATTGATTAAATTAGATGAGGTTTTTACTTAAACAGGAGCAGGCTCTTTAGTGCTTAAAAGTTGCTCTTAATTATAAACTGTTCTTTTGTCTGGTAGGAATGGACAAGCCAGGGACTGTGCTTGAGGTGTATTAAGAGAAGGGAAGGGAAAATCTCTATTATGTGGTTGAAGGGCAGCAGTGGAGAAAATATATCTGGTTGTTCTTCTTTGAGTTCTATCCATCCAGATAGCTAGTTGCACAAGTAAATACATAAAATAACTTCAACTAGTCAGTAAAACAATGAAGATAAAGCAGGTGATGAGAGTGGTGACTTCTGGGTAGGAGGACTGTTCTAGACTAGAGGGTCAGGGATGGTGCTATAGTTTGGCACTTACAAGTCCCCCAAAGGACACGCGTTGAAGGTTCAGCTTGTAACACTGTTGGGAAGTGATGGAATCTTGAGGAGGTGTTTAGGGGAAGGAAGTTAAGTCATTGAGGACTTGTCCTTCAAGCAGACTGTGGCCCTTTATTTTTTCTCTGCTTTCAAGTTGTCATGAAGTCATCAGCCTTCCTCTGCTGTGCACACAAAGCAACAGAGCCAATTCACCATGGACTGAATCCTTGGAAACTGTGAGCCCAAATCAATGGTTCCTCCTTGTAAGTGGATTATCTTGAATATTTTGTCAGTGTTGGAAAGCTCACCAACACACATGGCCACTCTAGGAAGTGATGTTTGAGCTGAGGGGTGAAGAACCAGTCCTGTAGGAATGGAGATGAACACTGCATGTAGAGGGAAGTAGACTCTGCGGTGGATTATGCAAGGAGCAGCAAGGCCAGTGTAGCTGCTATGTGAGGAATACCTGAGTGAGAGCTGAGATCAGCCAGAGCCAAGCATGTAAGCTTTTGTAGACCAAAGTGGCAGTTGAGGCTTTCTTCTAAAATTAGGTATTATCTAGGCTTTTCTAGGGGTGGGGATGGAATGGAAGTTGCAAATGGTGCCTCCTACCTGCTTTTTCATTAGGTCTCCATAGGAAACAGTCGGCTGTAAAAATGCATCCAGGGAAGCTGTATTTTCCCAGGCCTTTAGACTTTGGGTCAGGGGCATGGGTGAGAATGATGGCACATTTGTGAAGGCACTCAGATGGGAGGTGATTGGCATTCCTGTCCCCCCATAATGCAAGAAGATGTGATAACCCACCAGGGAGCAATCAGGGGTTCATCGAATCTCCCTGGGGAAATTCCCCGACGAGTGAGGGTCTGAGATGGGAGTCCAGGGAGTGGTCCAGAGGCAAGAGACTTGGATTTCATTTCCCCCTTCTGTCAATGCTCTCCTTAAGTAGCCTTATTTAATAGGCTCCATGTCTACACCTCTGTGAAAAGAGGACACTTCTAGCAGCCACCATCATCACCACAGGGCCGAGCCAATCCCTGACGCCACAGGAAGCGGATTAAGATCAAGGAGCTAAGGCAGCTAGCTGGTAGAGCCAGACTCTACAAGGCAGGAATGCCAAGGACTCGGCCAGCTCCACTAGGGGGCGCGCGCCCCGCAGATGACCTTTCGGGTAGGAGTCCTGCTGGGGCGCAGGAAGGCTAGCTCCTCCCGGGTTTTGCCCCGGAGCACCTGCATCCTCGCCGAGCGCCCTCAGCGGCCAGGGGAGGAAGCGACGAGACCCGGCGCGCGTGCTTCGGGGCCTGAGTCCTGGTACCTTCCCCAGCCTCCTTCCATGCGGAGAAACTGCGATTTGGTCATCTACCCGGAGTTTGTCCGTGAGGTCGGGAGCAGGAAATAAATTTAAGACAGGTGGACAATGTGAGCTTGCTCAGGGCAGGAGACACGTGGCTCAGGTGCGCCGGTCCAAGCAGAGGCCATATGCCCTTTCAGCCCCCTAGCCTGCATCGCCCCCAGATCCTCACGGGTTAATCCCCTAGCCGCCCGCTCGCTTCCCGGTGCCAAAGTGGGTGTTGCTGGAATTCCTGTCTCCCGTAATAAGGGGGCCGAGCTGTCCCTCCGAGGAGGGGGCATGGCGTGGATAAAAGAGATGAAAAAGCAGGGGTAGGTTTCCAAAAATAAAACCCTCCAGTTCCCCTTCAGACGGCTGAGGGCGCGAAGGTGCGCGCGGTGGGTCGCGCCCAGCCGCAGACGGGGCGGACTCGGGCTCCACGCTAGCCGGGGCAGCTCACACCGCACCGTCCTCGCTCAGGAACCCCTGGATCCCCAGTCTGCTACTTAAGCGGCCTCCTAGAGGGAAGGGCTAACAGCCAGGAGGCTCGGTAGAGTGAACCGTGGGGCTCATCCTCGACAACCTCCCGCGTGGTGTCGCGCGCCCGCCGCTCCGGAGCCACTCTGGCGCCATGAGGTCTCCCACCACCGCCCGCTGCTCCGGAGGCGCCCTGCGGATCCCTCGGAGGGGCTTCCTGCCGCTCGCCCTGGCTCTCCTGATGGGTATAGGTCACGCCCAGAGGGACCCCACCGGGAGATACGAGCCAGCTAGCAGGGACGCCAGTCGACTGCGGCGCCCGGTGGGCAGTCACCCCGCAGCGGCTGCAGCCAAGGTGTACAGTCTGTTCCGGGAGCAGGGCGCGCCGGGCCCGGGTTTGCTGCCTGCGGAAAGGACTCAGCCAAGCCAGGGGAGTCCCAGGAGGCCCGCCGAGGCCGAAGTCAGGAGGCCGCCCCGTGCGCAGCAGCCGCGACAAGTCGAGCCACCTGTCCAGACCTGGAGAAGCAGTCCCCGAGGCCAGCAGTATCCCGCAGCCCCTGCCCGGGCAGCACCGGCTCTCCCACGCCCCGCGCGTCCGCAGCGGCCCGGGACCGCAAGGCGAGGGCGGCTCGTCGGGTGAGCACTCGAGAGCAAAGCATGGGGCGTACACAGGGTGCGGGCCCGGGCGGGGGTTCATGCCTAGAGGGGCGTAGAGAGAAGGAGAGGCACTCGTGTCCCTTTGTCCTCCGTAATGTGAAGAGATCCCCCTCGAGGTTCCAAACCCGGGGCTCGGGACCAGATTTCAAAAAGTTTGGGACAAAAATCTGCCCTCCATTCCCTTGGACACCAGCTCATCCGGAACCCCGACGTTAAGTCCCTGCAAGGTTCTAGTTCATTCTGTGTTCAGCTAAGCAGCGCTCAAAGTCGCTCACAGCGATCCAGGATCTGAGAGGCAGCAGGGAGCAGGCAGCAGGCAGCTGGGTGGGCGATCTGGCCTCTCAAGACACAGAGGAGGTTAAGTTGGCTCTGGGAGTAGGTAGGGGGAGGATCTGGGGTGGGAGAGTGGGGACCAGGGTGCGAAGACAAGCATCTCCAGGACGGGGCTAGCAGCGAAGCCTGTGCGCTGTGACAAGTGTACCCATCCGGGCTCAGGACTGCTTGGGCACACAGAAGGCTGGATGTAGGCTTAGACGTGGGCTTCGGGGCTCTTTGGAGAGGAAACCTGACTCTGACATTATATGAAGAACTGGGTCTTTGTGTGCCAGTGCGTCTAGGTGTCAGCACTATTTGTATGCTTTGCAGAGCCAAGCCAACTTCCAATTTATTATTATTATTATCATTATTATTATTATTATTATTATTATTATTATTATTTTGTACCACTCGCTGCTGCCCCTGGACTCCACCACAGAGAAGGCCGGTCAGCAAACCTTCCCCTGAATCATAATGGCTGTTAGGGTGGGGTCAGGGGTGCTTGCCTGAATATTCCAGGTATCTCAAAGGAGGGCACTGGAGCCTGGCAGTGCTCAAATGGGCAGGGTGCCACTGGGAAGTCTAGGAAGGGTTCTGGAAGCCTTTGGCCTGGGTCTGGTTTTCCAGTTGGTTTTAGTTCCAAGGAACAGCTCCTGCACTTACACCCCACCTTCTGCTACTGAGGGAGGTTCTGCCTCCCAGTCCCTTTGCATTTGCTGTTTTCCCCCATATTTTGGCAGAATTCACTCCTGCCCCATCCATTCTCTGCCTCCATCCTGCTTTCTGCTTCTTCATAGCACTCATCCCACCAGATACATTTCTATTTCGGTTTGTCTGTTCAGGTCTGGCTTCCTGGCCCAGATTTGCTTGTCTAGAAAAGCAAGGGCTCTGTTTTGTTCATTTCTGCATTCCCAGTGCCTAGATCAGTGTCTATACAAAGTTGGTGCTCCCAAAGTATTTGTTGAAGGAGTAAATGGATTGCCCTTGGGAGGCCCAGCCTAAAGCTTGCATGCAGAGCACAGACCCACGTGCTGCCAAGTGACTCCCACATAGGATTATTCAGCGAGTCTTAATGGGACACCTGCTGTTTTTCAGCATCCCCCCCTCCCCTAATTTCCTGACTTGTGCAGGTGACCACATGCTTACATACTGAGCTTGGGAAAGGGGGCAGGGACCCATAGAACAAAACATTATTCCTGCTGGGAGGGCAATGGAATTGCTTAACACCAAGTTGGAGACATGAACAGTAAGTGCTAGTGAGCATGCTTCCTAGTACTGGAAGCATCAAGGTCAACGGTAGCAGGTGGGGAAGCAGAGGGGAGATAGCCAGAGTGGCACCTGGAGGTGATGGTGTCAGGCAATCTTAACACTGCCTAAGGATAGAATTTTCACTGTTGGCATTGGCCCAGGGGCAGGAATGCAGCCCTGGTATAGGGGATCCAGGGACTGAGGCTGGAGAGGAAGCTTGGGCTGGGCCATGGAGGAGCTTATACTGTAGGCATCTAGGTGTGAGTGTGTGTGTGAAAGTGCTCTGTTAGAAGTCATGAAGTGAAATGATGAGCAAACAGATTGTCAGCATGACAAAGCTGGCAGATGTGCACGTGTGTAAGTGGTGTAAGTGTGTGGGCTGGATGCCACTCACATGCACATGGGTGCACACACCTGTGCTGGAGTTGGCGCCTCAGTTTTGTCTCCTGAAGCTTTGGTAGATAATGGGCTCCTCTTGCATCGACAGCTACTTCATGGCAGCTGGGGAGGGGCAGAGTGGCAATATTGTCCTTTAATTTCCTCATGTTAGGTCCATTGGCTAGTGGTTTCTGGTCAGGCTAACCACTCCAGCCATTGTCCTGTGTGCTGGTGAATCAAGGACCATCAAGTGCCATCTGCTGGTGGAATGTGGGACTTCATCTCTCGTGGGTTTTTTGTTTCTTTTTCAATAACCCCTTCAATATTTGTGGAAGGGTTGGTTCTGTTATGCTATAGAGCACTATGATGGACTGTGGGGATGCAGCAGTGATCAAGACAAATGGCCTCTGTCCTTAAGGAGTTTTCACTGTAGTGAGGATTTACTGAATGAAGATTTTTTTTTTTTTTTTTTTTTTTTTTTTTTTTTTTTTGTCTTTTTGAGACAGGGTCTCCCTAGAGCCCCAGCTGTCCTAGAACTCACTATGTAAACTAGGCTGGCCTTGAACTCACAGACATCCATCTGCCTCTGCCTCCCAAGTGCTGGGACTACAGGAGTGCACCACCATGCCCAGCATGAATGAAGATTTTTAAAAAGAGTATATGGGGCTGGGTGTGGTGGCACGGGCCTTTAATCTCAGTGCTTGGGAGGCAGAGGTGGGCAGATCTCTGTGAGTTTGAGGCAAGCCTGGTCGACATAGCAAGTTCCAGGCTAGCTGGGGCTACAGGGAGACCCTGTCTCAAAAAGACTTAAAAAAAAAAAATAGAGTACATGTCAGGCATGGTATCTGAGGTGTAGCAGTGATCAGTGCTAATATGAAATGCACAGTTTATAGGGGACTTGTTAAGCCATTGGTTCCCATCTTGAGTAAGCCTCACAGCAGACCACTTTAATAGTTCATCTAATTCTATTATTTTCTTTATGTCAATATACTATTAAGGTAACAGGATTCCATGCTTTATCTTTTGAAGTATATTGTGAAGTTTTACAAACATAGAAAAATGCATTTGAAATCATAGAACTCATAACTTAGTAAGTCTTAATTTTATTTATTTATTTATTTATTTATTTATATGTATGCATGTATATATGCATGTCCAGCTGTCCTGGAACTCACTATGTAGACCAGGCTTGCCTTGAACTCACAGAGATCCGCCTGCCTCTGCCTCCCGAGTGCTGTGATCAAAGGCATGTGCCACCATGCCTGGCCTAAGTCTTAATATTTTGGCATAGTTTGCCTTCTGTTTTCTTAGTTGAGATTTATCCTATAAATTTGCCTCCCTCTTCCCCAGAGTTAACCAGTACTTTGAATTTAAATAATTCCAATGTGTGTGTGTGTGTGTGTGTGTGTGTGTGTGTGTGTGT